GGCCCAATCCTGTTCAATATCTTCATTAATGGGAGGAGTGGCTGATATGCCAAAGGGTTGTGCTGCCATCCAGGGGGACCGTGACAGGCTGGAGAAATGGGCTGACAGGAACCTCATGAATTTCAACAACGAGACGTGAAAAGTCCCGCACCTGGGGAGTAACAACCTCATGCACCAGCATATGCTGCGGCTGCCCAGGTGGAAAACAGTTTGGCAGAAAAGGTCCTGGTGGACACCAGCTTGAACAAGAGCCAGCAAAGTGCCCTTGTTGCAAAGAGGTCAATGGTATCCTGGGCTGCACTAGACAAAGTATTGCCAGCGAGTCAAGGGAGGTAATCCTTCCCCTCTACTCAGTGCTGCATGTAGTTCAGGATTCCCCACTATGAGAGAGACATGGACATATTGCACAGAGTCCAAAGAGCCACAAAGATGATTAAGGGACTAGAGCATCTTCCACATGAGGAAAGGCCAAGAGAGTGGGATTGTTCAGCTTGGAGAAGAGAAGGCTCACAGGGGACCTCATCAATGTATAAAGATACCTGAAGAGAGGGTGAAAAGAAGATGGAGCCAGGCTCTTCTCAGTGGTGCCCAATGGCAATGGGCACAGACTGAAACACAGGAGGTTCTCTCTGAACGTAAAGAAACATATTTTTACTGTGGGGGTGACTGAGCACTGGAACAGGCTCTTTATTGAGCAAGACCTTGTACAACTTAATGTAATAAGCAACAGGATTTTGCAGACTTAACACATAAGAAAACTAAAGAGTCTGCCTTGAGTTCAGTTCAGAAAGAGATGTTAATTCTACTCCCGACTGATATGAACATAGGCAGTATTGGCTTTGCCGTATCACCTTTTTAAAAAAACATGCTGCACATTATACCATACTGTGTACATACAGCAGAACTTCCTACTACAAACCATTTCAGTAGTTTCCTCTTTTATTACTGAAAAAATTTATAAATTGTAAACTTGCAACAAACATATTAAAATAAGGGCTTCAAAAGCATGCTATGCTTGTTTGTGTTTTGCATATATAGACTTGTTATTTAATTTCTGCCAAACAAAATTTTATAAGAAGCATTACTACTCATGATTAAAAATCAGTTATGTCCCTCAGAATGCCATTATACTGACCTATGTGCAATATCGCCAGTTGGATAAGAAGCAATAATGGACAAGACGATAGATACAGAAGAGCCTTATTTTACACAAGGCTTTCACTTCAGCAAAGAAACTTAAGAAATGCACTTCATATTTCTAGCAGCCATGAGAGAAATTCAAAAGCAATATGGAGATTGTTCAAGCACTGAGAGTGCCTCATGGATTTTTAGACTGCAATGTTCACGTCGTTTCTGTGCTTAAAAGGGGACAATGGAACACTTAGAGATGTATGTTGAAATTCTGAATGGGTAGAGAAAAATAAGTTATATTTACATCCATTTACCCTAGAGCACTGACCATACAGCCACAACAGCAACCACACAGATCATTATTCAAATACAGAACAGCAGCCACATTTTGGCACACGCTGTCACTTTGTAACAAAAAGGTAATATACTACTATGCTGTTCACTGAAAGCATCTGGCACCAAATATTCCACCATATTTAAAAAATTATGCAGAAGTATTAAAGACTAGTTCCACCACCAAATTTCCTTTTCTTTTTCAAGTTAGATTAAAGTAAATGTGAAGAAGAATGATGTGTGTAATATACAGAAACATAACTTAGGCAGAAGGGTTGTACATTCAGTGAATTTCCAAATTATAACATTTTCTTCAGATAAACACTAAGTCCAATCCCCTTCTCCTGCAAATAGTTGTCAGACATGACATAAAATTCCATACAGGAACAAGTTAGAAAATTACCTTCTAATGACAACACAAGCAGTAAAAAAACTTTACTGTAGTCTTCATACTCAAGATTTTAAAATCTTTTACTTCTAGCCTAAAATATACGAAGAACCTGTTTAGATTAATTGATTATTGTGCCAAACTTAACTTTTCATTTAAATGGCCTCCCTCTGCTTTTGGTGTTTATCTTTAGTCAGACTTTTAAAATCCTCATTTATCATTCATCACATTTGACGTGATCTAAGAACATATCAGGACATGTGACGTAGTGTAATTTATACTGTGTAAACACGGTTCAAGAGTTTACACCCTAACAGTACAAAACAGACACACTGGGTAAAGGAGGGGAGAAAGTGTAGGAGTAACACCCATACAAACCAAGTAACACAATGGCCTCAGCCATCACACTACTTCTACAATTACTAGCTGGTGGTAAGCAAGGTGCAGACAGAGGTAGGTTTAGCAATAGTCTAACAGTAATAAACAAAAATGGGTAGTCCCCAACTGGGCTGCGTGTACCCCCACAGCCCAACACAGCAGGCGTTCATTGTTCTGCTCCAGTGGAATAAAATCTCAGCAAGGCCAAAGAGAATTAAATCTCTTGGTGGCTTCATCACAATTATCTTAAAGAAGACACAGCATGGCTTTATGGAAAAATAATTGAAAATTTATGTGTTTTGTAGAAATGCATTTACTTTTATGCTTATTTCTGTCCTATCCCATTTCAGCTTACAAAGTTCAGTATGTTCTGACATTTCTAACTTTTCATGCATTCAGACAAAACCACGCCAGCACAGATACATTACTGAAATACTCACTGTGCGTAAACATATAAAAAAAAATGTATTACCAAATTGGCATTATAAACCTAAGAATCCCAGAGTAATAGTTAAAAGGCAAACAAATCTGAAGAAGCTCCAGTATTCAAAGGCATACCTGTCTCTGTGGGGACTCAGACAGTCCCAGCTCTATCCTGTATGCAATCAGAAGTTTACATGGCTATAGTCATGGTCCCAAATAAATTACTAATTTGATTTAACTTCATTGAACTATTACTTCATAGAACATGTACACAGATCAAACGTACTGGAAGATTTTCTGACTGTGTCTTCAGATAAAACTCACGACTCTGACTTATTCAAAATGACGGAGCAAAAAGCCTTTACAAGTAAACATTAAAATTTAAAACATCTTAACATCCAAGATCTCTGAATCTCTCAAGGAACTTCTAAAGTGACATATTATCTTCTGTTGCAATTGTGTAAGACTGATGGTCAGAATAGAGGAAGACAAGAGCTTTATCAATCAATAACATTTTGACCATAACACTTGCCTGAAAGCATCATGCCTTACAATTCTTGCAGTAAATGTTCAAAAATTATGAAGGTTGTACAGAGCATTTTTGGTTTTGTTACACAAATTAGGCTACAGTAACAAACGAAACCTCTTCCAATAAGTAATACACAAGGCCATAACTTTCAACAGAATCCTTATCCTAGGATAATTACAGTATTGTATAAAGAAAAAAGTCTATAGTTAAGGATAGTTTAATACAGGTATAATTTTCTTTTCATATAAAGTTTCTTCACAACTACTACAGATATTGTAATATTTATTATTATGTGCAGTCTGTTATCACGGTTACATTAACAGCAAAACTGGTCTGATGTTGACAGTTAGGTTTATAAATTCACATTTAAAATAATTTCAAATGGCTAAGCAACTCCAAATGCCAATAACATTAGATGTGTGATACAGTAAATTTAATTAGAAATAGACGACAAAAAAATATAGAATGCTGCATAAGGTAATGACGCAAATAACAAAATAACTACTTAATCACAATTTAGTTAACTATTTTGCCCACTGGTGATCCAAAACCATGGACAAATAAGTTTCCTAATGTAGTCACTAAATCTTTCTAATCACTCAGCTGATTATATACATTAATGTTAAGGATAGACTTTTATACGAACATTTGAAATGACCAGACTCAATTAATTTTGGAAGGATACATAAGAGTATTGCAAAAGTAAATAAATGGTCTGTTTTAAAAAAAGAGGTACACCAGAAAATGTTGTGCTGCTTCAGTAATGATGCAGGAATGAAGAATAACTTAACACATTTAAAAACACTGTAAAGTCATTAAAATGACAAAGCAGCAATTCACACAATGAAGTTTTTCAGATAGAGCTGGTGTAGAATGAGCTTAATAGGACTCAAATTAATGTTTGACAGTTACTACCTAACAAGGTCATTTACACAAAAGAAACAGAAATGTTTACAGACCATGTTAATCCTCCCACTTCAAGGGCCCAGTATGAAACTTCCCTGATGTGCACAGTATTCTATAATTACGAGACAAATATCAAAAGATTCTTGTATTAGCTACTCAATAACTGACCACTTACAACTGAGACAGAACATCAGGCTACACAGACCACTAATTTGATCAATTATGACAAATTTAAGCTTTAGAATATTCTACCAGTCTGCCAAACAACAGTTAAAAATAAGTTTAAAACCAGGCAAAACCTGTGTTCTTTCCAGGTCAGGAATATGGGACATGAAAATTAAGGTCAATAATACGTAAAAAAACTCACTGTGCCACACAGAACCACAGCCTTAACTTCTTGTATCTCTTCTGAGCACTTTCTGTGCAAATCTGTGTCTTGACATTGTACACAGAATCTGTTACAGCATTCACTTATGTCAAGTTATGTATTGTATGGCTCATCTCCTACTAAAATGAATTTTAATAAAAATAGTGATTTTATAACAAATTATGCAATTATTTGATAGACTACCCCAAATGGTTAAAACATGATTTACTGTTCAGACTCAGGAGGCTTACAAAGTCTCAACAGTTAAAACTAGTTGCAAAATACTGAACCTAAACAGTGACCATGAAAAAAGATTCCCTCTATTCTTTTCATTAAACATTATAAGTGAAAACATTGTGAAATTAAACTTTTTATATTAAAAACTTAACATTTTACATAATTCAAAGTAAGATCAACAGTACGTGCAGCAAACTACAAAGAACAGGGTGACACAAACCCAATACATGGAACAAGAATGCATTACTGGCACATATGGAAGAGAAAGTTTCCCCTCACTCCACTCCTTTCCCTCCAAAACTACATACCTGCTGAATGTGTCTACTAGCTCGTTTCTGAGGTTGGTAGGTAAGCCAAGTATACAGGACTGGATCAACATTAATTGCTAATCCTTGTACACTGGACAAGAGTACTGCACCTATACATTGTAGAAAAGAAAAGAAAAGAAAAGAAAATATAAACTATCTGCTAGAGAATCTCCATGTATGTATTTCATTTTTCTTGCACACAAATAATCTTTGATGCAGACTTTTGTTTGGATTGGACTTACATACATATTTATTTTAAATTCCAATCAAGAGTAATAATTAAACATAAACTTCTGTAATTTCTTGAAAGTGAGAAACTTGCCAGCACTGCCGATGTTACGGACGCACACACAAAAAAATGCAGAGAATTGCATTTTGATTTTGCTTATTACAATTTTTTGCCAAGAAAAATGCTTGTTTTCAAAGTTGTGTGTTTAACTGATTATACACAACAACCTTCCTCAGATTCTCAGCCAACAATAGCATTATGCAAGAAACGAGTCCATAAGACCCTGGACAGAAAGAGAAGAATGTAATGCATGACCCTCCCCAAACCTCAATGAAGAACTTGGTCTAGGACAGTGGGTTCTTAATAAAGTCAGGTCTACTTTGGGTTAGCGTTCTGCCCAAAGCTGCTCAGGGCAAACATTCTTCATGTAAATGTGGTCATGAGTATTATTTAGTGGACTAGTTAAACAAAATAAGGCAAATATTTGAATTCTGCCAATGTTGGCAGTCTTGGTACTGTGAGCTCTTAGGATTTTATCCTAAGTTATACAATTATCTTATTTTCCTGAATCTCACTTATAAAATCGGAGGATTACAAGATAGGGCTACTGTATCTTCATTTCTTAGAAGTAAACTTCTAGTTTTCTTATGCTTGTAAAGAAAAACTTACATGGGAAACATTAAGACTCAAAACAGGAGAAAAACTGTTCTCAGGATCCAAAAATCTTAGCATATACTTCAAGCCAATTATTTCAGTGGGGTTTTTGTTTTAATAGTACAGATAAAGTATCTGTTGCAGCAGAACTTAATTACAGAGCTGTAAAACTCAGAATCAAATGGATTAATATAATACAAAGGCATCAATTATATTGAAAAAGTGTGGCAAGTAATAATAGGTAGTCATCTTTTCACATAGGTTTTGCAATTTTACAACAAATGAATGAAATAATGAAATAAATAATGAAATAAATTCAAAACAGAAATCCTGGTTACTGGAAGGTCCCAGCAACAAATTCTAGACAATTACAGTAGTTCTATAATTCAAAGAATCACAGTTCCTAAAGCAATATATACCATGATATTTACTCTGCAGAATACAATATAATTAGGCAGCAATCTGAATTTAATAATAAATTCAAATAGCTTGTCTCACAATTCAATGTGCTTTCCAAAAACAAGCAAAAACATTTGCCTCAAAACACATAGTGCATCACCAAAATTGTAAACTGAAAAGAAGAGGTAAGTTATGAGTTTTTTGTACATAACAAAATTCTAAGACCAGCTGAAATGCAAATGGCAGAAGACCCACCAACCTGGGGCGATGCAAGCAAAGCCTGATGAGTACAATGGGAAAATGACAATCAAGAAATACACAAAGATAAATCATCCACCTAGCACAGGCTTGGGAAGTGAAACACACACTGTGAGGAACTCCTATACACAGACTAGTCTATGTGATCTGATGGTTTTAAATGTCAGTAATAAACCTTAGAAATAAATCTGCAATTTAAGGCAAAGCCAACATCGAGCATAAAGGGGTAACATGCAAGTAAGAAGAGCAGTGAATAAGCCTTGCAGCAGGATCTGGAGCAGACTACAAAAAGGAAGCAGAAGGTAACCAAGGATTGATAAAGTCTACACTACAGTCATTAGCTTTTATAAGATACTTAGATGCCAAAATAAAAGAACCCTGCATCTTTAAGAGATACCGCCTGTTGCCAGCAATACTTCATGAAAGATTTAATGTATATGCGATATGACAAGTGGGAGTCGGAGACCTCCCAAAGAGTGAGGAATAAAGTCAGCCTACAAAGTCAACAAAAAATCCCACATTTATAACAGACTCCTGAAAAGAAAAAAAATAAAGTGTTACTGTAGCACATGATGCCAGTTATTGAATTTAGTTTCTTGATTACTGCAAAAAATTAGCTAAAACTAAGAAGTTCAACACAATTCAGTCATGCTTTGAACTGAAACTATCTTTTCACTTCAGTAAAGTCACAATAGCACAATCCCACAAAATTCCAAGGTAGAACAAAGAGCAAAATAGTTTATTTTTCCAGTTGTCTTTTGTCAAACAAACAAAAAAAAACGCCAGCACAAGTAGTCAGATGAGCAATTATATTATTTGCCTTTCAATTTGACTGTCAGGTAACTTTGGCCTCCTACCAAGCCACTTCTGCCACACTGAATTACTGAAATTTACTGCCGTATTTACTACTCAGCCACTACACTCAAAGAGCAGTTTAATCACCTTTGTAAAGTTGTTTCCTGTGTAACAGCTGTCTTCAGAATAACTGTAGACAAAGAAAAGTTTCTCAGATTTGCCTCCCCCTCCCAAAAAACAAACCCTCTTAAATGTGTGTTACATGTGTGTTTTCATGTCAAGAAATAAGAACCACCCCCAGTCTTCAAGTAAGATATCACTGATGTTAAGACCAAGCTGTAAGTTGGCAATGGACTCCATACACATCGAAGCAAAAAATTAATTGCTATTTTGTCTCTGTCAAAACGCAATGCTGGAGTTTCCTGGATTTCATTAAGATTGTGGTGAACTTTCTTTTCTCCCCTCCCCTTTTCCCCTTTTAATTAAATTTACATTTCAGAAAAAACAGACCTTAGTCCCACACCATACTAGGTTTCCTTTCCAGATCCCAGTTCTTGCCAGAGTTATCTATTACATCTATCTAGTAAATGATTTGAAAAATAAAAATCAAACCCAAAACCACATAATTTTTGAACACTTGACAACTTCCTCAAAGTCATGGTGTCATTTGCCAGGTGCACTTTGGGCAAGTACCTTCTTTTCTCCGCAGCTTTCGGCTCTGTCTTGAACGAACGCACCCAAGGGAGGCTGCAGGCGGGCGGTGGAGGACGACGAGCAGGAGGCAGCAGAGCACAGCTGCGCTTGGCACTCTCACCCTGCGGACGAGCTTCTTGACAAGCTTCCTCGGACCATGACAGCTGCAGCACCAGCACTCGTCTTCCCAAGGGGCTGGGGGACCCACAGAGGATAACCTGGGGTCTCCTGCGCTTGGGCTGGCTCTGCCGCCACCTCCTCCCGCCTTAAGGGCTGAGCAAAGGCTGCTGGAGGAGCAGGGAGCAGAGGAGTGGCGAGCCTGGGGCTCCAGCCCTGCCCTCTCCTTCAAAAGGGAAATTCAAGCACGTAATAAGTGGGACAAAAAGGGAATACGGTGCACCTTGGTGAGGTGAAGAGGACACCTGCAGGATGCAGCTGCAGAGAAAAGAGGCCAGAGGTAAAGGCAGTATAGGTGAAACGGGGCAGAGTCGAGCAGCAGTGGTGGTGCTGAGGGATGCTCAGCAGTGATGAAAGAACGGGAGATGGCTTCAAATATCACAGAGATGGAAGAAAAGGATGAAGGCAGCGGGACGGTGAAAGAGGAATGAAGAGGTGAATGAGCACTTTGGGAAGGAAAAGGGAGGTGGCAACACTTGGCAAAACCAGCTGTCTTTGGAGATATAAGAACCTCATAAATGAGTAAACTTTGTGTTACCGAGTCACTCCCAACATTTTGGTGAAAACAGATTTACTAGGAAGAGTAGACAGTAATAGCTCAATCACAAATTTACTTATTGAAACTCAACATTTAACACAATAACAGTAACACACTATGACGCACTAGACATTGAGAAGCAGCCTTGCTATTTATGTGCAGAAAAACGTATTTTGTCTCTGCAACAATAAAGGATCACCCTGGCAGAAATCTTTCTAAATTCTGCGCTCTGTGTGTACGCAGTGTCCAAACACATCTATATTGCTATTTCCAGTAAAAACTTTCGCTAAAACATTTTAGATACTCCCCTGTAAAATGAACTGAAAAACCTTTACAGGAAACTGAAGTTCATGTTGCAGTTAATGTACACTTTCTGTCAGGGAGGGACCACAAATACGAACAAAAAGAACGATCTACAATAAAAACTAATTCTGACAAGTTTTGTTTATTTTTAGTAACTAGGTAACTAAAGAAAACATTACACCATCTTGCTATATAAACTGCATGATGAATTATTTTAGCACTGAGCTCATGACTCCTAGATGTCTCAGGACATATGAATGATAAGCAGGTGCTGACACAGGCTGAGTTAGCATCATTAATTCAGTACCAAATTATTTTACAGAATAACAGAAAGAAGAAATAATCTTTTTACTTATTATCTTACTGTTTTGAAGAGCATTTCCACTAAGGCGTAATATAAAAATGGAGATCTGCATATTACATCCAAATGAAGAGCTCTTTTTTCATAAAAGCATATAGGTAATTAGTTCTTTCTGCTAGTTGACTCAGAACAGATGCATTGTAAATCACTTAATGTAGAAATATCTAACTCTGTTTAATTTTAGCCTGGGAGTCAGCTAAGGGAAAAAGAGTGCTCTTTACTACTCTGCTTACTGCCAAAATGGCTCGCTTACCCACATTCCAAACAGGCTTTACCAATTAGCTATCCCATGGCACCACAGCCATTTTCAGTCACATCCCAAGCTGAAGAATGAGAGCTGAAGTAGGAGTTGGAGATTGCAGTCACACAGTATAAAAACTAAATGTGCAACCTTGTAGTCCACTTTGAAATATCAATGACAAGCCAATATGATTGCCTTGCAAAATAATCAGTTTATCTAAGAGACAAGAGTTCTGCATTTCACCCTGAATTGCTGAGTCACACAAGGGAACCAGATATTTCAACCTACATCAAAATTCATGTGATTGTGAAAAATTATTTTTACATTATAGCAGCTACAATAAGTTAATAAATTTTGTCTAACTACTGAAAGATATATCTGCATGCCTCCCTATTCAAGGTTGACTTGAATGATTACAGATTACCTTTTAGGTAAATATTATCCCAATTTTATCTCAGAGAA